CATCCTGACGATCCTCCTCGTGTTCTCTCTACCTGTCACCTTCTTCGCCCTTGCTTCTTCCATTTCCCGCCTTTCGTCCCTACGAATTATCGACGGGCGCAATTCCGCTGGATAAAAGCGAGGGCGGCCTATTATCGACATTCTGCAATACCGACCAGACTCGTATACCGACTAACCGTAATGCCAGCTGACTGCGATACCGGCGTGGGGCTTCGACGCCGCTGATTACACGCGAAATGCGGACAAACCGGAACGTGGCGAGAAAAATATATTGACACGCAGTGTAACGCCCACGGCGCAAAATACGAAGATGTAACGTCAGATGCATATCGCACGGATCTCTCGTTAACTTGGCAGTAGCTGAGAAATTTTCCGCAATGTAAACCATCGGGCGACACGTGCCTCCTACAAAAGCATTCATAAATTATATTATATAATTATATTATATAATATATATTATATCTCTGAACAAACAAGAATTGTACAAAGCTTTATTAATTTTTTAATAAAACAATAAGAATATATAATGTCATAAATTTATTGTAGTTGAATTTACGTGTTGTTGTTGTGGAAAAATTTTATTTTTTGCTCTTATTATATCTTATATAAAACTTCATTTTATTTTGGTGATTTATAGGATTTTTCAAAAAAAAATTGTTTAATAATTGAATTTATTTTTTTTCATCCTTTATCTACTTTTCATCTTTCGTTGAAAATGTGATAATTCAGAAAATATGTTCTCTATAGAATTGGATATTAAAGTACGGAGAGTGGCGCTTTAAAAATGGAAGAGTCAAACGATGCGCAACGTTATAATTGAAGAAATGAGTAAATAGGAAGGGAAAGGGACTGTCATATTCTTATATAGAAATCTTTATGAACAAATTGTTGTAAATGTTATTAATCTAGCGCGATAGCTTTATATTAAATCGACTAGTATTAAAAAAAATAAAGATTCACATATATAATATCAAATTGCATTATAGTGACGATCAACTTAATCTTCTAAAACAGAAAATTATAAAGTTTACTATTAATTAGGTCAGTTTTATCGTTCTCACACACTCGTTTCTTCGGATTACTCGTCACTGTAGAAATATACAATTCATATAATTGCGAAATATCCGTTTGTACTTGTTAATTTTCGAATTTATACCACTAATACATCATGATGAAAAGATGTTCCGATATCACAGGCAGAGAATGCGTGTTTGATGCATTTTTATCTATCAATGATGCATGAACAGCATATATATATATATATATATATATATATATATATATATATATACACATATACATACACACACACACGCATACACACACACACACACAAACACATATACACACACATATATCGAGATGAACACCACGATGAATGGACTTTCGAGCTATGTATTCGATTCGTTTGGATTGAAATAGTTATACGCAGCATATATAGAGTATATGCGTGCGCAACGTTAATTTCGTATGTAAAATGGCTCTCTTCCTGGAATTTCGAAAATGCACACGAGCCGAGCGCGCAAACCCCTCGATTTATTCGCGATTCCTGAAAATTATTTGATTATCAACAACTTTCTACTTCCCCAATCTACTCACGCTTGTTGATCCTCTCTTGTTCTTTCGTTTACGCAATCCCTCGCAACTAAATGTCCGATGAACACGTGAAATTGAATGTTCGTTTTGATATTTTTTAACCCAATTATTCGTTCACGCATGGGGATACACGCGTAAAGTTGACAATAAAAAATCAAATCCTTTACTGCTAAATATCTATAAGTAGAATTTGTTATGTAGATTATTATATTTTTTTATATGGCATATTATTTAAAATTTTATGCTCGGAAATTGTCTACGATAACGTTTATAAAATAAAAAATATTTTTTAATATTAATTTTCGCGCTCATTTAATTTTATTTCTACTTATTTAGAGAAAAAAATATATATATCTATGATGATATAAAATAATGTATGTATTATTTGAGTTTTTTTCATTCTATATATTGGATAAAATTTATTGGCTATTTCGCCTTTATATCTTGATATATTAAAATTGGCATGGACACAAATATTCTAAATAAAGAATATAATTGATTGCACTCGGAAAAAAGTTATTATCTTACAATCGATTTCTTTTTTTAGGAAACTATAAGAAGGGAGTGTACATCCTGTCCTCTTTCATTGATTATGATGAACATCTCTTCTGAAATCACGTTCTCTTTAGTGCTCTATAGTTTGAAAGATTTTTATATTATCGGAAAAGTTAACTAAGGAAAAGGACAAGTATCATCGATGGTTAAAATTCAAGAAATTTTTAACTAAAATTATTATATAGATATATATGAATAGGAATCTTCTATTTTATAAGACGTTAGCGCATTAATTTTTTTGTTTATTTCCTGACAAAATTAAGATCAACTTTTCGCGAAACTCATCTAGAAAACTTATGTCCTGAGGCTCGTAGAAAATGAGGCACGAATAGAATCCGGTCTAGATTTGATGATTGCAATTACATGAAATAGTAGTCGAGGTGAAGCTTTGCTCAGGATTTCGAAGAACTTTTCCGTATCGATCGCACGCCCTTACGGAACCATAGCCTTTCGCGAATCTTCAACTCTCCGCGAACTCGATTGTAAATTTTCCAGCTAGAATGCTCGAACTCGAGGTGGACCATCCGATACACTCTCCGCGAGCGACCAGAGTGCGCGTGTGCGGTCGGAACTCTCGCGGTTTATCCGCGCAGAAATTTATAACACAAATACATGCGGAGCCTGCCCAAAGTCAACTCAACTAAAATGTTTCTCACGACTTGTCTCATCTTTTACCCGACAATAACTAATTCAATTTTCTCAATCTACGCTCTAGAAAAAACAGAGAAAGATAATTTTTCCGCATAAATTAATCCATCTATTCGCAATCAATGCTTTCGACGTTCAAAATGAATTAACTATTGTCATATTTCGTCACATTATATAATTACATTTTATATAGTCGCCACTTGATTACTACTTTTTTGATGACTACGATCCCAAGGGAACGTAATGTCGTTTTACTAATAGCGCTCTTGCAATATCCTAAGGTGGAGTTAGATTGCACCAGCGGGGATAATTTTGTGCGACAATGAACGAAGATTGTACAATGTAATTTATTGTAGTTTAGGTTTATTTATTATACCCGTTTGGTATTTACAGTATTCTCTCATTATATAGGTATAGATTGTAATTGATACAATCATCGCGTTCATTGCCGACAACAAACATAGAGATTGTTCTCCGCATCTAGTTAAACTCATTGAAATTACATCGGTTTTGATGAATTTAATTTAACAAAAATGTCAAACAATCGTATAGATCATCTCGCTTAATCAGCGCGTCGAAAATTCACCCCGGCTAAAAACGCGGGCGATTTTAGCCGGCGCTGCTCCTGCTCTTCGAGCGGGATTCGGATTTGGGTTTTGCCGCAGGGGTAGGTGCGCAGAGCGAACGCGGATCGATCCCCCTCGGCGCGAGTACGAAAGGGGGGTTGCGACCGAGTCGCCCTCTTCGTTGCTTGGTATCCTGGCGTGTTCACCCCCGAAAACGGGAACGGTTTAAAGGGTGCCACGTCGCTCAACGGAACCAACGAAATTCGAACGATCGGCGAGAGTCGCGATATCGCCCTCGCTCGTCATGTCGATTTAATTTTCTTTCTTTCACCCCCCCCCTCCCCTCCCTTGTTTTTAGCGAAGGAGAAAGCGGAGAGAAAAGTTCAGACGTGCATTAGAAAAATCGCGACAAGCCTGTTTTTTCATCGGAAAAAAGCAACGCGTTCCTATCTCGACGCGATACGCCGCGAGTCTCATTATCGGACGCGTTTTATCAGACTTCGTACCGCCGCTATAACTCGAATGTAGGTTAGCGGCGGCGGATCCAAGAGAAGGGATGCCGAGTTTTCTTCGAAAAATCAATAGACATTTCTGCCCCTGGGTTTCACCTTGTCGCACTAATAACGCCCGCCGTTAACTCACTTTCAAAGATTCTTATCGCGCGATTCTGTATCAGAAGGCCTAATGAGCCTCTAAGTTTATGCGGAGAAAGTTTTTGTGCATGATTAATTATTTCTCGCAAAATTAATGATGGCAAAAATGAATCCTTCTTTTAACTTGATGCATCTTTCAACGTTTAGTATCAACAGCTTTTGTTTACATTCGCTTCGTTGCGTTATGTTTTAAAAAATAGCTCTCACATATTTGAAGTTAGATGAAAAATTAAGCTTCTTTACATTTTGCATCTCGACATTCACTGGGAATAATTCACTGGAAACGTTTTCCACCGTCCAAAAATATCGATCGACATTTACATTAAGAAGTAATTGACTCTACGTTAGCTTTACAACTACGTTGCAAATTAAGCCTATCCAGATGTAGTTCGTAAACACCCCGTAGAGTAGTTCAGGGTTAACCGCAGAATGTACGCGTCTCGTAGTTACTCGCTTCGCGATAGATTTCCAACGTAACCATGTGCAGTAACAATAGTGTCGCGTATACGAATAAATCCATACAGCCTTGCGTACGTAAACATGTGATAATTCGCGAGCGGACTCTCGTCGATCATTGGTCGATCGTTGGTTGCGAATCGAAGTTGGGACGAGGTCGAGCGTGAAGAGATCCCGTTTACCTTCGCAAGTACGTTTCCACCTGGCCCGTACATACCTGAAGAACCTGTATAGTCACGCTCGCTCGGTTTCTAGCGGCTGCTGCTGTACCACCTTAATATCCGGCTATCTTAATATCCGGATATTCGCAGAACGGATTCATTGTTAGTCTTATTGATACGCATGCGTAATGTATTGTTTGCACATCGGAATATGCTTAGTATTGTTCGCGATATTTTTCTTGACTCATGACTCAGTTTCTGTCAACGAATAGCATAGCGATAGACGTATGTGAAAATCAATGAAATATGAGCTTCAGTCCAGCAAGTATAAGAATAATAATTTTTGTTGGGAAATATTTGTCGGTTCTTTTTTATATAATGTGAGTAAAAGGAAAACGTGATTGTGTGTGTGTGTCTCAACATCGCAAATCATATTTATATATAAGTATTATTTGCTTCAGGCTCTAAGAAATCACCATTTATCCTTGATTGATGATTGCCAGATATCACTAATTCTTTTTTCTAATATATAATCATCTTTTTGTATATAATTTTGAGTTATTATTATATTTTTTCATGTTTACTTTAACAGAGATTTTTAATTAGAACAAAATACATATATATATACATAACCGAAAAAATTTGTTATTGAGACCAGCGGCTGAGATACCCCGTTCTTTTTTCAATTTTCTTTCATCTTCTTTTCCAATTGATTTTATCGTCTACGTCAGTACTGTTACTACCACCAAGCGCTATTATTATTTGTACTTGGCTTCTATATATTTTACAAATAATGCTATTACATTATATTTATTTTTGGCAAAGTTCCTCGTTCTCAAAGGAGTAGAAAGTACTGCCAATTATTTAAGAGAATTATTTAAGAGAAATCAAATGTATAAAACTATCTTTTTATCGTTTTCGTATTTTATAATAGATTTTTTTGAAAGATAATATATTTTTACGATTTGAAAACATTTGAAAACAATATTTGCTTTCATATTTTGACCAGTTTTAACATTAAATACTACGGTTGAAGTCTTATCCATTACACACACAGGTTTCATAATTATTACACAAAGCCTTTTACCGGTTCATCCTTTACATTTAAGGATTTTTTCCTCATCAAAAGTATCGATAAAAATTATTATTATTTAAGTTTGTCATTTTCAAAAAATTAGATATTTTTTTAAATAATTCTAAAATTAAAAATGTTTCTCTTCAAATTAGATATGGATTTTGCATTTCTAATATGTTATTTTTCTTCTTCGAAATATTCTTAATTTTTAATCGCTGATTTAAAAACTATTAATTTCTCAATATTTTTGTTGAAAAATTTAGAGGCCATTACAAGAGAAAGGGGAAAATTCAATTTCAAATTAATCAAAAAGAATACGTATATGACAGATATGCTTTATATATGTATAAAGGTAAGAGTCTTTGCGCGAAAGAGTACTGCAGAATCAGATTCGAGAAAAATAAAAAAAATATTTCGAAAGCGTACTCATAATATAAAACTTTAGCTGTTTAATATATTAGAAATATCTCGAGAAGAAAAATACGCTGTTAAAGTATCGTTATAATTCTACTGTTATAATTCTAGAGTCTACAATGCGCGTGATCCTGCTTAAGAGTCGCCGAAAGGATCTTCTCCTGCGGTCCTCCTACCTCACCCTCTCCCCCTCTCCCTCCTCGACGATGCTGCGCGAGTGAACGGAGGTCCTATTTCCGGCCGATATTTAAATCCGACGAGGACCGAATTCGCTCGACCTTAACCGAAGCGTTCGGTCCGGCTGTCACATTCGCGGTGTACCGAATGCTCGTCTCTCGCGTGGCGACGACGGCGGCGGCGTGACGCGTTAAATGAAAATGGCAACGCGCTGCTACGCCATGCGACAGTCTCCACGGGATACGTACGGTCGCGCAAATTGCGCTGCTTTATCAGAAATAACACTGAAATAACACCAGGACATGGGACAAGCGACAATGCGAGATTCAGAAGCACTTGGCTGATGTAAGGATCACGCTATGATTGACATGTACGTACAATTTTATAAATATCTATATATATATATATATATATATATATATATATATATATATATCACTTACGCACATTATAGAAAAATAAGTTTATTACAGAGATATACGTTTTATTTCAGATAGATGAGATTGATTCTGAGGATATCGAGTTTGAAAGATTTCATGGAGTACCTTGATAAGCAATGTAAGTATTTCTATTTTTTACTTTTTAATATATTAAATTTTTTTTTATCAAAAAATTTATTGATATCTCTGTATTTTTATTATATTATTATAACGTTTTTTTATGATACTGTTTCAATTTGTTTATATTTTGTTTTACTTTTTATTTTGTATTAAATGTGAAATTATATAAAGAAAAGCATAAATAATGGATCAAAAATATTATCTTTTTTCAAAAACATTTGGTTTATTATATAATTTAATTAAATTTTATAATATTCTAAATGTTTCTCTGTTTTACAATAAAGAATTATGAGATGATCAAATATAAAAAATAAATTTCCTATAATCGCATCAAAATTATCCAAATCTTTTTTTAAAAAGCAAAAAAAAAAACAAATAATGTACATGTTTATTGTATATTAATTGCATTTTTATAATTAAATTTTTATAATTTTTAAATTTTTTTTATAATTAAATTAATTAAAGACAGCTTATATATACATATATATATATATATATATATATATACATGTTTTTTTAATCATATAAATTTTTTTAAACGTATATATGTTGTATGTATTTGTGTGCCAGACAAATTGTAATAAATAAGGAAATATATGTGTTTGAAATATCTGACATTTTATACAAATTCGAAAGAAATTTAATCATTTTAATCCATATTTTTCCTTCTTATATAAGAAAATGTAAAAGTATGTGGTTTTTACAGATTTTCAATTTGGAAGCAGAAGATAGCAAAAACATTAATCAGCAAAGCAAATGATATAGCAGCAGTTTAGAATATACATGGCACCTTCAAAATAATCCAATAAAAAGTAAAATATCTTTGAAAGAAACTTTTGATGCATTTATTGTCTGAATAATTTATTACAAAACTGTATTAATAAAAGAATATTGTGAGAAAAAGACATTTAGAACATATTTTATTTATGCTATATCCATTCTATCTAACAAAAAATCTCATGTATATTTAATCATATAGTCACAAGATGAATAATTTATAATACATTTTAGAATTTAATATATTTTTAAATCACATTTAATTTGTATGATATATTGTATCTAAAAGTGAGGAAAAATAATTGCTCTTTTTTAAAAAAATCGATTTTTGTTATTTTGTCTCTTCACTTTGAAATAATTTCTAAGATAAAAATAATATATGCTATATCTAACATATACCTTGATTATATCTGCAAACTTGCAAATACTCTTCAATACTCGACAATACTCTTTTAGCTTGTAACAATTATTTTCACGATTATGGTACCCGCTTTTTAATTTATATCGCGTCTATCATAATAAATAAATAGTAGCATACAAAATATAGACATATACACACACAACATATATATATATGTATCGGATGTGATAATAAATCTACTTGTGTACTGTGTGATCAAAATATAAGTTTATACGTAGTATAATATTAATGTTGAAATTAATTATCGTCAAATCTAAATCTAAAATGTATGAAATTTATATTAAGGTTTCCAACCTTTTATTATAGTCATATTAGATTATATGATTTTATGGTGATCAATGTTCACACGGTCATCTATTAGTAATGTTTTGTAAATCTCTATATTTGCATCAAATAAGAATTATGACGTGATATAGAAAAAAATAATTTATTTCAACATATACATAGTATAGTATAAAATAAAAATATGACTATTCATTTTAGATATGCTATAATCCAATATGGCTGCAATGGAAGCCTGAATAAATTCATCTATTTAAAATAAACATTATATAAATCCTATACATTAGGTAAATCTACATTTTTAAAATTTATATTTTATAATTCCTCGCAAATAAATGGCGTTAAAATTGATGTTTCTCATTAGTGAAGAGGTTTTTCACATTGTGACCCCGGGACCATCCCGATATTAAACGTCCCTGCTTCTTGGTTTACGATTGACTTTTTGACAGATATCTATCAATATTTTGGGGAGCTAGCGCCATTTCATGGTTCGCGCATTTCGCGTCGTCAGAATTGTGAATAATTATCCAGTTTTTGCTACGATTAATATTACAGCTTTTTATTACATTACGGCGCTGCGGTCGCAGATGCACGGATGCAACGCCAGTCAATGTCGAACAAAGTCGAGAATTTATCGCGGACTGCTCTCTCGGTTATAACATACGTAACGCCGGCTAATATTCGTCGCGCGTTTGTATTTTTGTATAAATTTTACATCCGACGGCGGACGAACGTGGCCGAAAATATCCGAGATTTTTAGTCCGTTGCATCCATCGTGCGTCGAACGCGCTTCCCTCCTCGTCATCCACCCTCCCTTCCTTCCCACCCCCTTGGCAACATTCTATTCGCTCGGTTCCTCTCTATCTCTCCATTTCTCTCCGTATTGTCCCTATCCTCCTCGCAATCGCGCCACAACTTCGGGCAACATCGGACGCGATCGTGCGACGTCGACCCTGACTTTTGTTGCGCGCTTTGTTGAACGTATAAACGGATGAGGCTTTTTCTGGGACCGGCAACGCGTGCTACCTTGCGCAGGATGCAAACGAGAATCTGCAGAGTCGTACCCGACGCGCTCTTCATTAATGATTCACCGTTGCTCGGAGAGCAAGCGATAAATTCCAATCGAGCGACAATACAACGTATGCGCGCGTTATCGAATCAATTCGGCAATAATAGCGGTATATCGGCGAGCGCCCCTCGTGCGCGCGATGTCATCGGCGCGGAAAGAGAACCGGAGTCGTTCTCGTCGTAATGTTGAAAGTCATAATAATCGAGTCCTCCAGGATTCGGTGGTACGTCATTCGCTCTCGTTCGTGCCGGGGTATAGCCCCAGCCGTCATCGTGGCTGCATCTCTCACGGTTATACCCGTAGACTCCGGCGCTCTCTCGGTCCCCGATGTTAGCGCGATCGATACGACGACCATCCCCCGTCGTCAGCCCGGCCGATTTTTTTCCATTCGACCCTCGCGCATGCGCGTGCCAACGCGGTCTCCCCTTTCCGATTCCGAGCGAGCGAGCGACGAGAGAGTCGGAGGAGGGTACGCCGCCACCCGGCGAAGCGGGACCGAGCAAACAGGCGAACGAGCGAGCGAGCGCGCGGCAGCGGTACGGTGGCATGGTGTGGCAAGGTGAGGCGAGGGGCGCAGGGGGTGAGGCGCAGGGATGGGAAGGGGGACGGAAAGGGGCACGCGAGGGGAGGTGAGGAGCGGCGCGGCGAGGTAAAGCTTCGTGGCGAGATGCAACGGGACGGGACGGGACGGGACGGGACATGGCGAGGCGGGGCGCGGGAAGTGCGGAGGGTGAGGGGGGGGGTGCGCCTTTATTATAGCAGCGCGCTTCTGCCATACCCCCGGCGCTCGAGCCAGAAACTCGGCGCTGCCAGGGATCGCCAATACCAATTTTGGAACGCGCCAACGTCGACCGAAATTCACAAACGAGATCTCGGAATTAGCAGGGAAAATGTGGGACCGCGCGGCTCGATCGATCTCTCGAAAAATATCAGGAGGGCAGCAGAAGCGAGATTAAATGTATTTATGTACATTACATCGCGCGAGGAGAGGAGGGGGCGGGGGAGGGGTGGGGAGGGGAGGAGGCGGCGGGCGAGGGCGGATGGTGGCGGTGGGGGAGGGAAAGGGGATGACGCATTACGCGCGGACGACGCGGAACGAGCGGGCGGGTAATTTAACGAGAGGCGCCGTATTATTTTCGAATGGGACGTAAGGACGCTCCGCGAGAGAACTACCGACGTTCTCCGCCTGCGTCTTGCGCTTTGCGAGCGCGAGTCTGCTGGAAAATGAATCTAACGAGTACCTGGTAGACTTTTGACATTTTCTGCAAATTATTCGACGTACAGCTCTACCTCGTAAAGAATGTCCCGCGAACTCGGGGTCTTTTACGATGGAAGGTCCTTTGATAAATGTGAAATTAAATCTTAATTTTCGATATTAATTTTTTTTTAATATATACCTTTTCATTTTAATTCGATCGAAAATATAGATATACGATTTTAAGTAGAATCAGTACGATTATATCAGTACGATTATAGAGTAAAATGGAACGGATATTCTAAAACTGTATATCTATTTATATTTGTTTTGCTTTATTGGTTCGATATTCTTGAAGGCGATTTAGAGTGTATCGATGAGGAAGAAAATTTAGTTCAACACCGCTATAGTCTTGATCCTAAAACGCGCGCTGCATTCGACATCAATCTCAATAAGCCAAAGAGATTATACACTTTCTCGGGATAAAAAAGAATCTTAATGAATATTATAATCTCTCGCGACGTAGATATGAAAATATAGCAAACCCGCCAAGATAATACAATATGCATACATACATACAAAAAAGAAAAGATTACAATTTTTTTTTAAAGTATCCAGGAGAAATTTTTTTCTTTGTTATTACTGTACGAGAGAGAAATGAACTCGATATCTGATAACTGAATTAAAAATCGAAATTTCAATATCGCATTGTTTTTTGGTCACGGAGAAACGATACACTCGTTCGTTTTTGTAGGTTGTTATTTGCTGACAACGATTGCAATACGCAGCGAATTGTTGGAATTTATTACATCGAATTTGATCTCGTTTTTCGTTGTTAAAGGTATTTCACATAAATATGCAAGCATTTTCGTCCCAGGCGCTTAGCGCCATACTAATGGCGGGCGAATGGAATTGGAGGGTGAATCGGATTGAACTCGAGGACTTCTCGGAGAACGTGTAGCGATTGGTCAGAAATATAACTGTTTTCGAAGCGATCACAAAACTTGATAGAATTAAATCAAGTAAATAAAACAACTAAGCGCGTGAATTTTTAATTCAAAATCGCCTACATTGTTGTTATATGGATAAATACTTTAATAATGTTTCCTTTTATGTATTATAGTCGATGTTATTTCTGTCGCGTCTATAATATTTTGTAAAATATGTCGCGAATGATTAATAACTATATTATTGACAATCAAACGATTAAAGTACGAGGATAGAAATAAGAAATTAAACGCGATTCTCTATTTGTCACGATTTTTATCAATGTAAGAACTGAAACTCAAAAGTCAGAAAAATGACTAGAAAATCATTAAGAAAACTGCAAAAAGACCTTTACAATTTTTCAGTCATGATTTCTACAAAATCTCTTGTTTCATTGAATGATTATACTAGAAGAATTTTAGCGTATAATCATAGATAATCGATCCCGGCAAACTTATGGTAATGAGAGAACTCAAGTTCCTCAAGCTCTTATTGGCTATAATTACCAGATAAAATATTCATGATCCAAAAACGATGCAGTGAATTATTGCTTAATTATTTACACAATCTTAGCATTGTATCGCATCACATTTAAATAAATAAATAAATATATATATATATATATATATATATATATACTCTTAATACGTACACAAATATATAATAATGTATAAGAAAAAATGTATACATGTGCAGTTTTCGATGCTATATTTGTTCTTATCAAAATTGAATTTTACATTTATACATATATATAAATATATTTAAATGTGATGCGATACAATATACATATATATATATATATATATATATATATATATATATAAACGAATAAAACTTATTTAATTTTTTATTTAAATCTAATTGAAATTTAATTCATTCCAACGAAGATTTTAAATTATAAATGTTACATTAAAAAAATGAAACTATTGTTCCTTTTAATCGAGATTCTTAATTTTGTAATGAGTTTCTTTCAATGATTTCTATTGGATAATAATTATTCC